CAGTCAAAAGATCACGCTGGGCCCTTAGGAATGTGGCCCAGCCCAAAGTTCGTGCTGGGCCATTTCTAGTAACTCTAGATAATTATCTATATTATTAAAGTTGAAACAGCACTTTATATGTATATACTAATTCTACAAATATACTTTTAAATCTTATAAAGAAGCTTGTACCATATTAAGGGCTCCCAAATGTGACCTGAGTTTGAATTATGTTAAGTTTAAAGCCGAAACCACAGTCTGTGAGAAACAGGAACAATGGACTCCTAAAGTAAGCCACGCCTGTCATACTCTCAGAACTTCATGCTTAGATCATCAAAGTCCCTGCTAGCGGGACGTGCCAAACAGCAAAGAAGGGAAGAGGGAATGGGCCATCAGCTCCTGAACTCATCCTAGCGGTCTCAGGGTCCACAGCCTGCCTGGATCCCTAACGCTCAGGTAGGCCTCCGTGGCCGGCTCCCAACTTTGATCCACCTGCTATTCAGTGTTTCAGATGCTGGCACTGGTCATTGCACAACAAAAAATAACGCTGTGGTCCGCCGGTGGGCGGTAACTCCGCCCATCTCACTAGTCTTTAAGTATCGTGAATCTTTCAGGCTATGGCAACAGATTCAGGTTTTCTGAAATTCTGAGCTCTGCTAGAAAGCTCAAATGCTACCATTGGCAACAATTGCTGTCTGTTGTTTTTCTCAAGGGGACAGGCTCACTTCACTCATTTTAAAGAAAATCTCCCCAAGTCTGAATGCCTGGCTTATCTTCACCTGACCTGCCCTCAACGCCACAGCTGGAGTGTGGCCAAGAACGAAATCCCAGCATCTCACGGCCAGGCTTCCAGTCCTCTAGGGGCTCCTCTACCTTCTGAGCCGAGTCCCAGCTCTTGAGTGTGACCTTGAACACAGCACGTGTGTGTCACTGCCTGATCCCGCCCCCCCACGGCTGTCCCACCCGCACCACCGCCCAACACACCCTCACCCCGTGGTTGCTGAGCTCCGCCACCCGCCCTTTCACCCAGGTCACGTCCATGTGTCTCAGAAGACGTGCTCAGGGCCCGACGCCCCCCAGAAGCCCCCCTGGGTTCCCTGCCCACCCCGGACCCCACCAAGCACTTCCCTGCCACCCGCCCCGCACATCCTTTGTCAGAGCCTCTCCTCTCCGGGGCCTTTCCTGCTCCGGAGCAGACCCTCTCTTGCCGCACCCTCAGCCCTGTCGTGCGTGATTGGAGCATGCAGGAGAGCGGGCTGGAGCTGCCCGTCCAGGAAAGGGGCCCTTAAGGTAGAGCAGAGCCACCGCCACCGCCTTCCAAGAGGCGCAGCCCGAAGCGCAAACCAAGTTCTGGTGCGCTAACTGGCCTCCCACCGGCACTCTCAGTTTAGCACGAGGATTTCGGGGCAAACATTAAGTACAGAGAACGTGCAATATAGGAGAAAGTGGCCAGTTTCTCAAGCCTGAAGCAATACAATGACCCAACCCAGATGTCTCCCAAACTTCCCCAGCCTTCCATCAAAAATCCCCCGCCAGGGCATGAATGTTCTGGAACCCGACTGATAGGGCCTGTCGGGTGATGGGAGAGGAGGTTGTAGTTAAAACAACTCATCATGTGACGCTCACAAAGGGAGCACAGAGTTGCAACAGCCCAGAAAGCTCACACTGCTCTAACAGCTTCCTGGTACCAATCGCTTTCCTGCCAATGCCTGCTTTCCGGAGACCACATCCCAAAGCAACGTGGCTGATCACGTCCTGGTTCTGACTGTCAATGTTTGTTTTCCTAAGGATGCATTTCAGAGACAAGCGAGTAACAACATCCTAACAGTGACTGGTTTAGTGCAGACATCTGCA